AGGATATGTTTGTGGTTTTAAGAACCAAAAACCATCTCAATGTAGTTTTACACCTCCTCTCTCAGGCTTCTCTCTGGAGCTCTAGTAACAACAGGGCAGTGAGCCAATAAGAAGAAAGTAGGCTCTGAGCATCTCTTCTGATTGGCTTACTGGTTTCTGAGTGATTAAATAAAGATATAGCAGATTTCAGGTAAAAACACTCAGAGAAACCAAATCCTGCCAGGCTGGGTGTTGGGTCTGGGTGGGCTGGGCTTGGGGCATGGCTGAGAGTGGTGTATAGTTGTGACATCACAAAGTTACACAAGTCCTGACGGCTCATTTTAAGCCACAGTTTCTGAATACAGGCTGTGTGCATTTCTCTGTGGACTGACCGCTTTGATATTTTCACAGTATTAATATAGAACCTAGACCTGCTTTATAATCTGTATCAAAAAAATACATGGAAATCTCACTGTAGACAATATGGGACCTTTAAAGCTGCAATAAGCAATATTTTTATATGAGCACTGGATCAAATGACTGAATGTAATGTGAAAGGTGATAGTGATTAATTATCACTGGACTAAGTTCCCTCAGCTCTACAGAGTGTTGTAGTGTCTTTCAGCTCATTGTTTTGGTTTTGCACCAGCAACTGTTTGATTCACTTTCATCAGCACTGTTTCTGGCAGCAGCAGGAAGTTGTTTTCAACCAAAAATTTATAATCCTTCATCTTTGATGGAGAGTTTTTGTGTTTCTTGTGTAAGAAAGTTTTTGTTTGTTGTTTTTGAAAGTCTTGTTTGTGTTTTGCAGATTTGAGTGATGTTGGTTGCATAACTTTTTGTATTATTTGAGGGAGACTTTTGTGTGGGTTTTTTTTTTATTCAGATTTGATTTGATTTTAAGTAACTTTGTCATCTTTCATATTCACAGACTTTCCACTTACTGACATGAAAGCAGCTTCTTTTTTTAAAAATGTAATTGTTTTTTTTGCTTCAATGCTTTTGTTTGTGTGATGGACAACTATTGACTCTGGTGGTATTTAGTCCCACATTAGCACATTCTCATGTGACTCCACAGGTGGCGTACTTCACCACTCAGCTGTTGTCAGTGCTGCTCAACACACACGTCCTGTAAGAATATGCGACTGTGTTTCTTTTCAAAGCTTCAAACTAAGACATGGCTACCCTAGCAACCTGCTTGAAAAGGAGAGCAACAATACTCACAACACAGCAATGAGTATAATTTAATTTTTAATTTTAGCTTAATCATGCAGTCTAACAAAATGTACACACAAAAAAAATTTGAAAAATAAAGTTTGAAATAGTCTTACACAGTCAGGTAGTGCCAGTAAAGTCTGGACAATATGGCAAATATTGCATATTCATAGATTATTGACCATATTAGTGGTGGAAGTAGTACAGAAATTCTGTAATGAAACAAGAGTATCAGTGTTACGATTAAAGGTACAGTATTTAAAGCTTCTGTGGATCAACTGACTATGGTTAATGTGGAAGGGGTCACTCATAGTGATGAATCCACAGAGATTTATCACCTGACTCTGAAGCTACCCTTTCAGCATTTTTCAGATCATTGTTCTGCTTTCATGGTTTTAAGTCTTACTGCTCAAGCCTTAACCTCATTTCCAGCAGGAGCAGGGTGATGTTTTTGGCAACAAAAATCATCACTGTACGCTATCCAGCACCTAACAGCAGATGAGCAAAGTTATAGTTGGTTAACTTCATTTCACATTGTTACATTAACTTTAATTGTGCATTAGTTGAGATTCTACAATCTTCAACTTGAGCAGCAGAAATGGTGTCACATGTGATCACAGCCTTTCCCTCTGAGCTGTATTTTAATAGCGTATAGCTGGTCCAATGACTCCATATACTGCTGACTATATTCTTTTATGAGCTCATTATGCTTTTTGATCTGCAAAGTAATTAATGCTTACAGCTGTCAGGTAAATCTAATGTAGCATACTAAAAAGTACAGTATTGTCCCTGGTGTAGTGTGTAGTGAAGTAAAAAATAGGAAGCCCAAAAGCCTCAGAATGTTTAAATAAAGTACCACTTGCACTTATTAAAGGTCTTGCATAATCTCTGCTGGATATATTTGAAAAATTGGTCTTTCTCTACCATGCCCAAAATATACCATGGCACTTTTAAAGCATCAGTTATAATATGTCATTGAGGAGAATAGACGGTCTCAATCCAATCCAAATGGTTTTAATTGGTCTATGCAAAAGAATGTATCTAATTGACTTGCTGCGGAGGTTAATCATATCAATTCTTTTATTCTCATTACATCATCTGCGAGGGCTGAATGCTCTGTTCGTACATGTGTATAGTCTCAGGGAGGCTTTGAATAGCTTGGGGAGGAGAGAGCGCGTGTGTGTTTTAGTCGAGCCCCTCCTGGACTTTTTAATGGACACAGTAGCAAAGTGTAGTTCTGCTTCCTGGGCGATGCTAATAGACTGAAAAATGGAGGTGCCATGCTGTCATGCCTGTGGATAGAATTACTTTAACATTTCCATCAGGCGGAAAACTTTCACTCTGGCGTCCCTACATTAACCAAAAAAAATAAATAAATAATCCCATTGTATTTTCACTCACATAACAGCTGCTTGCTTTTGCCACATTATAATATGTGCTATTATTTTTTGATCTGATTGATTTTTTTTCTGATTAAAACAGTTTTAAGAATATGTAATAAAACACTAAAGCAGTAACTTCTAATACATGCAAAGTACATTAGTATGCAGACTTCATTACTGCAGGCATGAATAGTTGGGAATTGATTTAAGCCACATATGTACTTGCAGTTACCCATTCTGGGAGTCACTTCAGTCATATACTATGTCACATTAGCATAACAAGCAGAGGAAACCTGAGCAGTAATCATCTGTGTCCTTATTACCATTTGGGTGTAAAATCTTCAATATACACTAGGAGGACAGTTTATTACGAGCACATAAAAGAGTTTTAATACCTGTGCTTCTGCCGCTCAGTCTATAATATACGCCAGTGTGTGTGAGAGAGAGGTGAGAGGTGTCTGAAGGAAGGAGGGGGTGGGTGTTGTAAAGGGGAGCTATACGAGGAGGAGGAAGGGAGAGCGGTTGAATCTCATTAGCGGCATTTTTATTCTCATCATACTGCCATATTGAATTATTTTATTGTCCTTCTTCATCCTCTGGACAGATTGGTTTTTCCAAGGGGCTGCTGATTTCATGTAATGAGAGTGTGACAATTCTATCGCCATCACCTATATTTCACAAGGAGAGGATGTATACAGTTGGCTTCATTGGAAGAATGAGGTTAGTGGAAAGGAAAATAAGGGGATGGAGCAGATGTGGGAGGCTCAAGTGATGAAGCTATATGGCAAAAAAAAAAAAAAACAGTTATGTGGCTTTGACTTGTTTGTTCTGCCCTTGATCTTTTACAGATCAAGGTGGAATAATGATTGTTCCTTCTTCCCCCTCTTGCCGTTTTGTCTTTCTGCAGCTGGTTCGCTATTTATCAGAGAGTGATTGAGGAGTTCTTCAAATGGCAGCTGACAATGGGGACGGCCCTGAAAGTGCAGATTGCTTTCAACAGGTGAATGCTAAGTGCCTTGAAAATAATGATGTACATGCCACAGTCAGCTAAAACATCATCAGTCATAAGGACCTCTCATGCTCTCATACATATGCATGTACAGAGGAACTTCATTGATCTTTGCTCAGAGGTCAAAGGGCAGGTTCAGCTTCAGGAGCTGAACACATTCAGTATCTTTTTCAGGAATGTTACAGTGGGATCAGCTGTCAGAGAGCCCAAGGCATCTGGAAAAAAAAGAAAAGAAAAAAAAAGATTTATCCAAAAGGGTAACATGCACATGAAATAATTATTAAACTGACTCAACTCTCAGGTGCCGTGCTCAGTAGCATCAAATGTTAGCCAAGAGTTTTAATGGAATAAAATTTCATTAAATCCAAAAATGTTTTATGTAATTGTTGATGCACATTTTTTAAAATTATATATTGTATTTTTCTCTTAAATGATAATAATGGTTACTATATTTGTCAATATGTTGCAAGCTTGACTGCACACACAGGCCTGACTCTTTCTTTTTTTGTATTTCATTTGACTTGGTAATGAGTGTTTTTCTTCTGTTTCTAATGGAAACAATAAAGAGTAATATGACCATAAAAATCTCAACATTAAGTGGTGAATAAATGTATGAATCCAAATGACTAAAATATCACTTGACAGCTGACTTAAGATATTTTCCAGTTGTTTTAATGTTGCACAAACCCCCAAGCAAGCTAAATAAAAAAAGGAAGTGAGTGACCAAAGTGTACAAACTTCAAAATTGACTGTTTGGTCACAGCTATTTAAAGATACAAGAAGCTGTGCTACTGTGGTGTGGCTTAACAAGACATGTAAAGCATATGTCGTGTAAAGTCACTTTTGGGTCACTGTGGTTTGCCCTTGTCTTTTGTAACTATGTGGGCTTTTACATTAAGACTCATGACAAAACCAAAATATCATCTTTACATAATGTAACTTATATTATTTGTTTTAATGTAAGGGATTCATTTCATTATATTATTTCCAATCTGTATTTAATGTTTACTGTGTGTTGTTATGCTCCTGAACCCTGGACGGCAAAGAACAGTAAAAGAAAGAAAAAGTTTGCACTATCTTGCTGGGTGTGCCCTGGAAAGCAGAACTGCAGGACTGATGTGGTGATAATAAAGTGCTTTGGACATTGTTTTGACCATGAAATACAATGATGCTATCAGGACCCATATAAGGGTAGGAATTTCTGAAACTACCAGCGATTAGCCACCAATCGTTGACTGCATATGTTTTAAGGGTGGAAATAATAGTAAATAATTACCATTAACTGTGCGTAAGGGATTTATTAGACCTTGTAGCATGTGTTTTGCGTTAAAAATCTGTGAAAACATGAAAAATTCGTTTCAACATGTGCACTTAAATGCAACATAAAGCTTTTCCCCTTAAACGTTGATTTCCGGGTAACGGCATCGGAAACACTTCTCGCTTGTAAAAAGGCGGATCCCTGTCTGCTACTTTGCCTTTCAGAACTTCTTTAGAACCTATTTTTTCCTCGGCGGCTCCCAGTTACACGCCAAATCCAACTCATATTGCTTTCTGAAGTATTAAAACGGCATTGTATTCAGTCGAGTTCTACGACCGTCCTCGCCCCGACGGCAGAAAGAGTTTTCCAGCTCCAGCTAGCTAACTTTTAACGCACTAGCATTCAACTTGACAATTGCTCTGCAGCACAACAGGGAAGAAGCAGCACCGGAGCATACACAGGAAGATGGGAGATAAAGAACTGATGTGGGCATTGAAAACCGGAGACCTGGACGAGGTCAAAGCCAAACTGGTAACGGTAAGACAGCTATGATTTGACTGGTTATTCAGTGAGTTGCGTGCAACAATTTTCTGACAAGTGACTCTTTAGCTAAGGTAAATAACGCCAAGTGGTAGGGTAGCTAGCTAGCTAGCTAACGGTAACTGGAGTTGGGTAATGTTAAGTTAGGCAATGTAACGCTAGTGAGCTATCGGGGTTTCTGTATCAGTAACCTTAACAGTATATATGGAGATATGACTGAGCATGAATATGTTTCGAAACATTTTAAGGCTGGCGTAAGACGTTTTATTGCGGACCTCACAATAAAGTCAGAACGCTTAGTTAGCATAGTTAGCGGCATGTAGTGCTACTCTCACCTGGAAAACAGGTAGAGGGTGAGTGTCTTGCTAACTGTCGCGGTTTCAGCCATACAATGATTTATCATCCGCGTTGTACTTAAAGCGTGGTGGCTTTGATTACGAAACATGTTTAGCACGGCTGCCATAACCACTTTCCGCAGAGAGCAACCTGTTGGTAAGCTAACCAACAAGAGCATCAGATGGTACGTGGTACACACTGGGGACAGCTGTGTCCATTGTTATGTCAGCAACAGCGGCGACAATAGTTGTTTACAACACTTGCATTATTTGACAATGTGTATTATTATCAGGACAGTGAGTTTCTGCTAACGCACTGTCAGATTAGTCTAGCTAATGGCTAGCGAGCTAACCCACCACACGGGCCCAGTCTCCGGCAGTGTCTAGCTAACGGTGGTGGGCGGGGGTCTCAGCTGGAGGCTCAGCTTCAGCAAATCTAGCGGAACCTTTCATGCCAGCCAGCATAATCTGTTTGGAAAAGATTGATAGAAAATCTCTTTGCCTAAACTCATAAGTGGCTGTCAGGCCACACATTTCACTACAGAGCTTAAAGCGCCCCCCTGCTTCTGTTGAAAAGATTAAAAGCTTGTGTGCTTGCCTATGCTGAAAGAGGCCATATTTGCTTTTACAAACAATAGCATTAAATTATTGCAAACGTTGACTGGATACTGGCTTATAATTAACAGCTGTATAGTTTCACTTGCATATTAGATACTTACTCACTAATGCTCTATGAATTACTATACTATATTTATAATTGCTTCGGACTTTAAGGCAGCCAAATATTTTTATAAATTAATCACAGTTCAACTTTATTTGCAGCCATCTGTAAAGTGTACTTTCCAGTTCAAGTTGAAAACTACATGAAGACTGTCAGTGTGTAATCTGACTCTTCAATCAATAGTCCAATGCCCCAAATCTGTCTCTTGAATGAATGTAAAACACTTCAACCACTGTCAGCTTTAGTCAGATTCAATTTAAGATGCTTACAGTAATATTTTCTGTAATGACTAGTTTTCACTGTGGGTATGAAGTGTAAAAACTACTCTTGAAGTTTAACCCACTTCTCCTCTCCTGTCAGTTTGCTCAAAACACTCATATTCTCACCACATAGACAGATTTTGGGTGGAGAGCAACTGTAAGTGCAGCTATTGGTTTTAATAGGTTCACAGTTCTCCCCCATTATCCGACAATGTTTACACACCTTGTAAAAACCAGAAATATCTTCTTGAAACTTTTAATTGACATGAATATGAGATATTTATGAGACAGATGTAAATGTTGTTTATAAGATACACTATGGGATGCCCAGGTACAAGCCTGCACGTTAGAGCTAGCCTCAGTCTTAAATGAATTATAAAACGTCATTGCACATAATTAATCAAAAGTCATGATTACAGTTGCTGAGTTTTGAGCCGAATTAGACTGTTGCATTTGAGACTTTTCAAATGCATTTTTATTATGAATGAATTTTCCAACCACAAGGAGAATTTTCTCATTTCTGATGGTTTTATTGTATCTCATAATCATTTCATTATTTACAGAAGTCTGGGTATAAACAACTGCAGTACACTGTCCCTTTTCTATAGTCGAAATGAAACTGTTTAAATTTCATCAGCCTTTGGAACTGTAGCCATTGTAGGTAGCATTTAAACACTATTAGAAGGGGTCGAGGTCCAACATCCATCAATGCTAATGGATTCACTGGGAATGGATGTAAAATGAATTGTCCTCAGTGTGTTGTGCTTGACCTTCAGTGGAGTTAGTAATAAAGGTGAGCGAGTTGCAATCAGAGGCTGGCAGTGGTGCAGTTAAAGACATGAACAGGTGCTGTCTGCATATGGTCGCCACATTGATTTGACCAAAGGAAACAGAAATAAGAAACAAGGGATAGATGCAACAAATAATTTTATTTGCAAATATTTGAATTTATATTTTCATAATTTCTAGCATCAGACGTTTGGACTTGTTAACATATGTTACTCATGGCTTGTTACAGCATTGTCCTTATTTATTTCAGTGTGCTGTTTTTTCTCTTCTCCAGGCTGAGGATGCAAACCGGACCCTGGATAGCGGGAGAAAGCCTTTGCACTACGCTGCGGACTTTGGTCAGACAGATGTGGTGGAGTTCCTCATTTCTAAGGGAGCAGATGTCAATGTAAGAGCAACAATAACCACATCACCAACTTTTTTGCATTAATTTGTGTGCTGGGCTGCAAAGACCACAAAAAAGAAGAACAGTGTCTGTGTCAGCTTCCCCACACACCGTCTAAGCCCATTGTCAAACTGCTTGATGTTATATGAGCGCTATCAATTTGTTTAAACAAAAGCAGGCTGTTTGTTAAAACCAGTTGTCATATGCTATTTCACCCATTGTCCAGTCTCTCGTTCAACAGTTGTCTAGGCTTGCCAGACCTCACATTTAGCCTGATTGGCACCCTGAGCCTCAATAGTCTGTTCTGGTGTTGTGGCAGTAGATTGATCTGTATCCATTCATCGGGGCACTTACTCATCCATCAGTATTAACATCTGTAATTTGGATGGAGCGCCTCTGTAATTTCCAGCTTGTTCTAAAGGTCTCATATGCCTGTTCAGTAACTTGGAGAATTGTGTGTGCAAAGCAGCATGAATCTTTGAACTGTGGTACATGTTTGGCTATCAGGGTGAAACCAACTTTGGAGAAACAATTTACCAGGCCTACATGGTAGTTATTTGTAGACTAATACCCTTTTTACACCCAAATTTGCGGGCATAAGCACGTTTTTTTAAACATGGGTAAACCTGCTATAAAAAAAAAAAAACGACTCCTTTTACACTGTGGACAAAAATCCAATGTTGGCAGGTCTGAGCTGGTTTTTGACCAGTGTAAAAGGGGCTTAATAGTGAGTGTTCTATAGAAAGCTTCCAGGATGCTTCGAGATGCTCAAGGCACCCACATTAGCAAGGTGCATCTTAGATTGGATAACTACAACAACCCATCATCACAGCACACACTGGTCTGGTCCTCAGAGACACGAGGAGTAAAACTTGCTCCAAAATACGTTGTCGCCTGGCCTCCCAAGTCAAAAAGTGTTTACGCAATTCTCCATTTCTCTTGATAAGCTGAACTAGTGAGACATGGGAGATAAATGTAGTGTTTAGGTGCAGTGTGCTTTCGTATAATTTCTGGACATCATAAGAGAGTAAGTAAAACCTCTCTTGCTGGAGTTTTTTCTTATTTATTTTTGATTTAAAAAAAAAAAAAAAAGAAAAAAAGATGAATGTGCCCTAGAGTTGGATGTGGGCTCTGCCTATGCTCTGCTGATACATGAAATTTTCTCTTTTTTTTTTTTTTTTCCTGTCTGCCACTCATGCTTTTCTCACCTGCTCCTTCTACAGGCTCCTGATAAACACGGGCTCACTCCACTGATGTCTGCCTGTTACGAGGGTCATCTCTCCTGTGTCAAGGTCCTGCTAGAAGGGGTTGGTACTCTGATTTCAGCATGCAATCATTCATGCATGCATATACATGCATCTGCACACAGAAGTGCCCTGGTGTCCTTCACCCATCAGTGCATGTTGATGTGTCAGAGGCTCCATGTGAGCCATGAGTGCTGATGAGGTAACTCATTGGACAAAAGGCCCTTTAACACAGTCCTGTGGAGGCTGTGCTGGAATGTTCATACAGCATCACACATTATCGCTGCTGTTCACTTGTTTTGTGTCTGTGTTTTTAAGCAGCGTCATTCATGGGTGTTCCATGTAAATCTCTGCCCCATCTTTCCATCTCAGCCTCCCTCAGTTGTTTAGGTCTGGAACTACAGAAAGGGGACAAAAGGAATAAAAAGAAAAAACTGAATAAATGAGTTGCGAAACATAACGAATGCAGATGCTTCCATACATGGTACAATTAAACAATTAACATCCAATCACACGCTGTCGCAGGTATAAAAAGAATGTGAAGAGGAAAAGATCTAAGTGACTTTGAAAGTTCATTGCTGGGGCCTGGATGGCAGGAGATTCAGTATGAAAAGTCACTAAAGTGACATCTAGTATGAGGAAGACAAAACATTTGAGAGTTCAGTGTTGCCAAAACCACCAGCACTGGTCTACAGAGATGTGGAAAAATATGGTCAGATGAATCATCCTTCACCGTACTGTTGACAAGTGGATCTGTGGTGTACACTAAGGGAACGGCACAGGGCTGAATGCTTTACCCCTACAGTGAAGGGATCTGATTGCTCTGTTATGCTTTGGGGGCATTTTGCTGATATGTTTTAGTTTCACTCGTCCCCTTTAGAGGGAAGGGCCACTGCACATCAATACAAAGTTGTTCTGAGTGAACATTTCTATCCTGATGGGAGTGATCTCTTCCAGGATGACAGTGCCCCAATCCACAGGTCTTGAAGGGTCACTGAATGGTTTGATGACTATGAAAAAGATGTGAATCATATGCTACGACCTTCAGTCACCAGATCTCGACCCAGTCAAACACCTTTGGCAGATTTTGGATCGATGTGTTAGACAGTGAGCTCCACCACTATCATCAAAACAGAAAATGAGGAAAATACTTTTAGAAGAATGGTGTTTATCCCTCCAGTAGAGTCCAGAGACTTGGAGAATCAATGCAAAGGAGCACTGAAGCTGTTTGCTGGTTGCATGTGGAGGCCCAACACATTACTGTTGGTCTGTTTTTCCTTAGCTTTGTCACACATCTGTATCTTAAATGCTACCTCTGGCAGTTAGATGAACATGGACATATGCACACACAGTCACTGCTATGAGCAGAGAAACAATACTGTGTCAAGCACAGCTGGTATTGGCTGTTGTAGTGCAACTGAATAACAAGCATACCATAATAAATGTCCAATCCAACCAACCTCACCCAACAGTAGAAAACAGATTTGTGCAGTTCCAGCGCAGTCAAATAAAAAGCCTCATTTGTAAGTGGAGCTCTCTTTTCGAAAGTCGATGCCTCTTCTTGTATGTCTTACTCAGAAGTACATGCACATAAATGACAGATCACCTGTTCATCTACACTGATGGACTTCTGCTTCTCTGTTGCTAAAATGAGTCAGACTGCAGTGGAATTGATGCCCTCACGGACAGTGAATGTCACACAGATGGGGGTCACAATAGCTACTTGTCTTTCAGTACCTCATTCAGTCGTGTCTTTGTGTCTGGCACTCATCATTAACACTCAAGATGTTTCAGTAGAATAAAACATGATTTATAGCTGATAACGTCCTGATTTGATATTATTATTCTTTTTATATCTGTAGCTCGGCCCATCAATGAAAGATTTGAGGTTTCACAACATGCAGAAAAAAATACTGGTTAGTTTTACTCTCCTGGTTGAAACATAGTAAATGGCACAAGGTCAGTACCACAGTGATAGAAACGCCTACAGCTTAAAGGGCAGCATGATGTCACTTAGCTGGCTCGCATGCTTCACAGTCAAAGTCTGCTGCAAACTGAGAAGTGTATATGAGCAGGCGAGATGGAGAGAGAGATATTTGGGGGCTGAGGGTGAGTAAGCAGCTGTCTGTTCCCAGCCAGGCTAAATGAGGCAGGGTAAATGAAAGCTCCTCTACAGAGTTGTTTCACGGTAGCATCATCTTGGCTCAACGAAAGTAATGGGAAGAGGAGAGGAGGCATTCACAAGCTCAGTCACACTACCGACTAGAGAATTTTTTTTTTTTTTTTAAACACACTATATAATCGCATACATGCCACTCAGGCATACTTTTCAATCAGTTCACAGTTTCTGATGCAGTTTGAAGCAGAAAAAGAGGGAATAGTCTATGTATAGGAAACACTGGTGTTAGGTTAGAGAGACACTTGCGTGGTACTCCACTGCTTACTTATTCCTGTTGGCATCGACTGTATTAATCCGCCACAGTCACACGCCTCAGCCCTCGCATCAATCGGCCAGCAGCTCGCAAGTGGCTAGCAGCTGGCCACTGCAGTCAGCTGGCCGTCAGTACTGTTGGCTCAAAGATAAACTGAAGGAAGCAGCCAATGCCAACAGGAAGAAAATAACAGTTTACTACACAGTAAGTTCTTTGCTATAAAGTTGGTAGTGCAACGTTGGTAAGCATGGGCAGGTTTATTGTTCTAATTGAAACAGAACTGTTGCTTGTTTGTCGGTGTGTTTTATATTTCAGTCTGGACAGATCCGCCTCTAGTCTTTCACTATCGGCTATTATCTATGAGCTGTATTTGTTTTTCGAAGCAGACTTTGATCTGATTTATGGTGATGTCTCAGCTTTGCTTTGGAAGCAGACCTACCAAAAATGAGGACATGCGTTTTACATCCATGTTTTTGATAATGCTGCCCTTTCTGAAAAAAATAAATAAAAACCAACTTCTTAATTAACTGCAGTTCATTTTCCTCTATTTCCCCTGCTTCGAGCCACAGTACATCCTCCTGAAAGCCAGAGGCTCCTCTATACCTGAAATTGGCAGCTATGCAAGTATAGTCTGTGCAATGGAAATGAAAGCCCCTTGTGGGGGACCCTTTTTAATAAAAAAAGAAAAAAAAAAAGCCTTTTGTCTGTGGTATCATAAGAAACAAGACAGGCAGCCATAGCTCATCTGAACAGGGATTATGGTGGGAGGTGAAGATATGAAGAAACCCACAGGTTCACTCCTCACATGGACCGACTGTCCCCAGACTACCATGCTGTTGTTGGCAGTGAATTATGAAAAGGCCATTTTAACCCCAGTAGGTGACCCAGACGTACAATCTTGGCCAAGAGTGCTGACTAAAGCTGGCAGAGGCAGGCCAGTTAATTTTAAGTCAACAATAAAAGGGCACACATGGGCATACACACATGAATACACACACATCCTTTTCTTCTATGAGGAACCAATGACTAAATGAATAAATGCAGCATTATTTTGTCAAGTCAGTTCCTATTTGTTGGTTTTTCTCAGTTGTCCACAAGTAAGAATCTTAAAACACTTGAGAAAATATCATCTTCGCATTGAGTTTGCCAACTTAACTTAAATTCCCCTATGTTTAGTTTGTTTTGCCTTTGTAGATGTATTTCTTATACATTGTCTTGTCTGGATAATGCTACCCAAATAACTAAGATCTAGGAAGTATATGTTTTAGAAAGGGTTTTGAAAGGAATACGGATAGTGAGTAAAATTTGATTTCAGCTCTGTTGTATAGAAGGTATTTTGTGCTTCTCACACAAAGACTATATAGAAAAACTTTCACAAACTTAATTTGTCTTTTGTACGAGAATTGTTCAAATAAAGAACTTTTGCAACAGAATACCGGCCTACAACAAAATGTGATCATATGAACTCCAATAGGTCTGCAACTGACTGACTGCAGTTTCCACATGGTTAATCTGCCGAATATTCTCGATAAGTCTATAGAAAGTCAGAAAATGGTAAAAGAAAATGTCCATTATAGCATCTCACAGCTCCAAAGCCGAAATATATTAAGTTTTTACTATCATATATGACAAAGAAGAGCATCAAAACCTCTCATTTGAGAAACTGGAACCAGCCAATAACTTGCATTTTTGCTTGAAAAAAATAGTTGCTGATAAATTCTCTACATTGCGACTGTAAACTCCAGTTCGCCTAAAAAATGACTTCTATAAGCTGCTTTCTTCATTTCAACCAGAACCCTAGCTGACAGCCTGCTCCAATCCAAATGTTGCAAGGTGTTATAAAACTTGCCCTCTAACAGGTTGGTAATGTTTGACTGCTGCCAGCAGGTCAATAGTCCGATCTGAGCATTGCATTTCAAATAGATTTGGAGTGATGTTCTGGGACAATATTTGAAGGCTTAGCATGGGAGACCTTTCAGTTCCATTCACTGGTGGCATAATGAAAACTTAATGGACAGTTGGCAGGTCAGTGGCATTACATTACTGACCCAATGCTGCTTTGTATGGCTCCATAATCCAGGATGATGATGCGTCTTAGTTTGACTGGAGACACCCTGGGAGTCTATTCTTATTCATTAGGCTGTCTCTCACTTGGCCACTAGCTTCTCGTTGACTGGATAATGTTTGGACAGTGAGGTGTTCATAAGGGGTCATTATTCAAGTTGGGGAAAGCTCATTACTGTAAGTGGTGTCAGGAGGATGCGACTGAGCTGGATGGCCATTGGGGATTTCATGGTGTATCCTGAGAAGCAGTAACAGGGAGGAGTAAGAGCAAGAGCTATTATTGTAACTCTGCCATAAATGTCCATAGGGAGAATCAATCTGTGGCAAACCCCCTACTACTAATACTTTTTAGGGGGACATAAGAATGTGTTGACCAGAAGGGGAATCATCATTATGAGATTGTTTTACCTCAGAAATGGTGCTATACTCGCAGTATATAATTGTGTTTGTCAGATGGATGACTTGTTGGCACCCAGACAGACACTGTATTGATGTTGAAAGGGCTGGATCCAAGGTGTAATGCTATTTCCTGCCATCTAAATGAGGCCTGTAGAGTGGGCTGCTAGGTATGGTCTTGAACCAGCTACTAATGACTTCCCCAGAGTTTGAAGAGAGGGCGGGGGCTTCCTCCTGTCTTACTGTCCTCCCCCCCCCCCCCCCCCCCCCTGTATCCAGTAGAGCAGAGAGCTCAATGATTGGTTATCAGATACCTGATACGAAGGAGTCAGCAGCTTTTTGAAAAGTTAAACTGACACTACAAATGCTTTATCACTATTGATACTTTGATCCAGCAATGTTTGTACAGACTGAGAGAACAACGGTTCATATCAGAGAAACATTAAATCATTATCAGAGAAGAAGGATTCAGGTTTTCCTCCAGGAGAACCTGACCTGTATCTGACAAGATGAATTACACTGAAGGAACCCTCTGTGTATTTGTAGATACAGTTAGGGAGCACAATCATTTATTTTTATCTCTGAAGTTTGAAGACCTGAACACCAAAGCCTTCATGAGTAAACCTTACATTTTACACTTTGCTCATTTTTTCTGGATTTGAATCTCTGCTACACAACAATCTCTGAGATTTATGAACCCTCTTAGCAGACTAAGACTACTTACTGCACACCTCATCCGAAAAGTTGGAACATGATATACAGATCTTAAAAAGGGAGACTCCAGGAAGTTAAAAAAAAACTATCACTAAGGGACTTTGGTCACCATCAGAGTTAAAATGTTACACAACAGGGATCTGAACATAAATGGAGTGTTGACAGGTGCACACGTCTCAGAGATGTGAAACATGTTATGAATTGACAAAACCCTTTCCGAACTTTTGTCTTTTCGTCTCCTGACCAATTAGAGATGTAGATCTGACGGGTTACCCGCTCAGCCCTGGTAAATCTCTCTTGCTTGGGATGCGCTCTGTTGCTCCTGTGGCATGGAATTTGCACCCAGACAACCATCCCTGCACTGCGGGGCACTTGAACTGGGTCACATTGTTTTTGATGCCCTGCTTCTCCATGCAACAATAGACTCTCTCTGCCTTGGTTCTGTAAGCCCTTTGCTAAGAGGCTAAAGTTGGCAGGCCCAACAAAGGGACGTTTCTCCACTACATGCCCCTCCACTCCTCCGTCACCCATTAAATCTGTTGTAACTACATGTGCATTCAACACGTTGCCTGTCTCATCCCTCTCTCTTTTTTTTTACGTTTCTTCTTTGTCCTTAGTAATCCGAATGATTGCGTCCACTCCCATCTCTTTCACATTCATTCTGTCATCCCTCAGAGCTCAAATGGATTTGTGCCTCAGCGTCTGTTACTTTGTTTTGCATGTGCTGTCTGGATAAAGATAGGCTGACAGGCAAGTGCTTAGTGACTGAATTGTTGGAAAATAGAAGTGACAGAAGTTTCAGTTTGGTTTAGAAAAATACCAGGGTAGCTGTTCAAGAAGGGTTTGTGACCATGAGCAAAATATTTGTTGGAGGTATTATAAGCAAGGTTTGACCCAAGTCATGGGCCACTGAGAGCCTCCACCACCATCCACTGATTAGAACTGCTGGCACCCAGCTGTCCACCACGATGTAACCCATTTTAGGAACTCAAGAATCGGGGTCTAAATTTGAGCTCCGAGCCATAGAGTCCTGACCGTCAACTCCCAGCTAGCATCTCTTCCAATAACATTTTTAACTCGGCTCAATCTTTCCTTGAGTTTATTCCGATGGTATTTCTGAAAAAGTGAAGTTCCCAGGGTCTACTTTCGATAACCTTTTTAATGATCATATTAGCAGACAACGTGAGCATTATTAGCATGCAAAACAGATGCACTACAGCTCCCATGACAGTGTAGCAGTGTGGAAACATAGATACGTGCATTGTTGTAACATGGTTTCTTCCACATCCATTCCACTATACAGCCCTCCCTTCCCTGCTATTAAGACAATCATATCTGAGCTAGCCATGCTGCTTCAACTCGCCCTTGGACTCACCTCCTCTCAGATGCTAGTGACATGATTGTCAAAGGGTTATGGGAAATTGTGTTCATTAAAGACTGCTGAAATAAAGAAGTACAGTCAGGCTTTAACCCCCTATCATAATAATTTGATGTGGTTGAAACAGAAACAGGAATGTGCATAAAGAAGTTTTAGTTGCTGTTTTGTGCCTCCTTAATACCTGGGACTATTTGTTTCCAAAAGGGGCAAGGATACCTTGTTCAAAAAAGGACTGCTCCTCACTTTAACCCCTGACCAGATGCAAGTAAGTCTTGATGCACCTACTAAGCATATTTAATATTCATGTCCTCTCCTCTCCACAGGGTGCTGACAAAGACGGGAAAGGACCGAACGGCATCAGTGCCTTTGAAGCTGCCGAGAGCGACGCCATAAAGGCTCTGCTCAAGTGAGGAGCCCGCGGTGTAGGAGGTGGCTGGACAGGTGGGTGAACGGACAGACAGATGGAGGCAGTGGTCCCCTGACAGAAGATGGACTCACCCCTTTTACCCTTATCAACCTCTGTCTTAACACTGCTTTTGTCTGTTTGTTGGAGGGTCATTTTGTCTGTCTGGTGATTTTCCTTTATATATATATATTTTTTTTTTTCTTTTCCCCAAGTTTTTTGGGATAGGATTTTCTCTTCTTTTGGCCTCTGTTTGTAGCCATTTAACAGAAGGACTTGTCAGTTAATGTCTCCCTTAAGGACCAATCACTNACTGCTTTTGTCTGTTTGTTGGAGGGTCATTTTGTCTGTCTGGTGATTTTCCTTTATATATATATTTTTTTTTTTTTTCTTTTCCCCAAGTTTTTTGGGATAGGATTTTCTCTTCTTTTGGCCTCTGTTTGTAGCCATTTAACAGAAGGACTTGTCAGTTAATGTCTCCCTTAAGGACCAATCACTAGGGGAGAGCTCTCATACCTGGATCCTGAAACACTGCAGACTAGAAGTCAAACTCTATCATGTAAACGCAAAGCTTAGCACTTAAATACACACCTCTCATTTGCAGTTGTCTCTTAAAACCGTCAAGTAATCAAATGCTAACAAGATCCATAGTGTGTTAATATTTTTTACAACTTCAGTATGAGTATTGTATGGCCAAGGCTTAATCTCATGAACAGTAATTGCACTGTACTATACTAGGTAGGTTGAAAAGAAAGGTTGTAAAGTTTCATTATATTAACCTTTCATTATGTGTGGCCTCTTCCTCGACCTTGATTTCTTTTTTTAACAGACCAAACCATCCCTCCAGTCCAATACTGAAATTTGGGAAATGTTGGGTGAGAGAGGTCCAGAGGCCAGTCCAGATTTTCCTTTTCTACTTGGCCCTGTATCACTTACATATCAAATGGTGTTATTGACAAAATTTCATGTTGGTAATGCATAAAAGATATTGTGTATTCTTTGACCAATCACCATGCTGGCTAACTAGAAAGACTTGAATGTTGCAATATTAAGCATCTGTTACTGAATCCTTTTTTTGAAGCGATGTTAACATCACATAGTAGGATGAGGAGTTTTAGAAATTGGTTCATTTTGTCAGCCCTAGAGTGAGATTTCAGAGCAAGAATTCCTTTTTTCGTTGCAGCTTCTCCGTGTATTTTGTAACTGATAGGCTGTGGGGTAACTGAACGAGGGGTAAATGGAGGGGTTAGAATTAAAACTGGATGGTGGGGGGCCGTTAATATTCCCCTTGCCTTGGATTTGGTTAGAAGCCCTGCCTGTTGCGCTGCATGTCAAAACTGCCTCTGCTTTTACGCTATGAAATGGTCACTGTCCTCTCTCGGTTGCTTTCAAATGAATTGCTACAATGTAATGGACAAAATAAAATAAAAAAATGCTCTTGCTGACTTTGTTGTGACAAAAAGTCTGTAAAAAAAATGAAATAAAAATATGTATAAAAATTTTTTGTTATTCTGGAAATATTTTCCTTAAAAACTGACCCAAGCATTTCCATTTAAAGTTGAGCCCTCCATAATAAAAGTATTGATGTTCACCACTATCTACACATACCAAAATCTTTATAGAGTGTATGGTGTAATTTTGCCTGGTGCTAAAGTGTTTCTGAAATAATACATCCTCTACCATAGTATCAGATGAATAACTGAATAACAGGTAATTTTCCAGTAGAAAGGATATCACGCTGTTTGACAAATTCTACCTTTGGTATTCTCGTAGCCTTGGGCGATCTAATCAGTATTTGTGAACTTGAGCAACTCCATCCCTCACAAAAAAACAGCAGACTCTAATCTTTGTTGTCATACCAATCTACCGCCTCGAGCTGTTCCATTATGAATCACAGACCGACTTTGACTCCCACTTGGTTTGTCTGGATGTCTGGATTCAAATAAGCTTCTATCTTCTATTAGAACAGTCGGTTCTAATACAGAAAAGGCAGCACTATCCACAGGAAATGAGAGTAATCATACCTGGTATTGTCATAGTCAGTTTCATCAGTTCGTTTTGTGAGGCCACTGCATCTGTGTCTCGAGGGGATACCATTGTGAACACTGCCGAAAAGTTGCACACGAGTAATTAATTAAAATGACTCTTTGTAATTATCAGAAGATACTTGCAGGTGCTGCAGCACTTAAAATGTTGTTGAAGGTCATGTCAGGTCAAAGTCCTTCCTTTTACCTGACATAAACCAAGAGGAGTGAAAGTGATATTGTGAAGAGTACTGTATTGATATTGTGGTTCTGCCGTGCTGATTCTGAATACACTCAGTGGGATGTGACCTTGTGGTTCAGATGAACCATCCATTAAACAGTGGATTCTGATCAAGTAGACTACTGATGAAAATGTAGCTGTGGCCAACAAGTTCCCTGAAAGTGATTTTTGGGGTTATTTGACGTGGGGTTGTGTGAGGTACTTAACTGCAGTAGATTCGGATCAGCACTCTCCCAGGTTAGAGAAGCAGCTGGGGCACCGGCACAGAAGCTGAGTGATGTGATGCTGAGGACGGGGCTGCCGCCAAAACATGTTTTAGCCACTTTAAAAAAAAAAAAAAATTTAAAAAGCCAGTATCAGTTGAAGTGAACATTTTATTTTGAATATTTTCATCACTTTATCTTCTTACCACTGAACTACCGTATTCCGACGCACAAGCGCACCGACTCTTGGCTCTGTTTAACTCAAACAGCTGACCTGCGGAGTAATACAGTGCACCATAGTTGTGCGGAGGAATACGGTAGTCCAGTGGTTCACAAACTTCAGTGAAAATCATTAAAATAAAGCGCACACTTAAACAGGTATTGTGTTTTTTTTCCCGTGAGGATTTTTTTTTTAAGTGGCAACTGCAGGTAATACATTGACTATAGATAAAGTACCTCGTACGTCCCCACGTGAAGTCACTTTAAGTTCAACATCTACTTTGTACACCATCACACACATAGTTAGCACCTTTTCCAGCACTTCACTGAGGCTATATCACACTTACGTTGAGTCATAATCCAAAATAAGAACTTCATGGCTACACCGTTGCATCAAAACGGAAAATTTTAGATGTGTTGTGAGTCATTTTCTACCCATTTCCCTCCATTTCAACTCAGCACATTTGGAATCTTTGGAAACCTTGGGATGTCGACCAGAATTTAAAATACAGTTATGTGTGCGGTTTAAACACTGCTCCTCGTGACGCCAGTTAGTAATGATGGACCTGCCAAAAGTCTACGGGGGTAGAAGCGAGTGGGAGCAATCGATAGAAGCGTGTATCTGAGCCGTGGCACGCGGTGAACAGTTGCATCAGGTTCTGTCAAATGAGCTGGTCCGCAGAGGGAAGCCGCAGACTGAGACGCGGCGAGGAGGGTCTGGGAAGTGCTCGCTGAATGCTGCAGTGCTCTGTTAATCAGACAGACACATGCCTCTCTAGGCCACTTGCCATGTTTGTATACTCACACCAGAGAACAAAGACAAATCAATTATTGCAGCGTGGGCAAACATCAAGATAAAAATGACTTAGCCACGTTTTGACAGCCCCATCTCCCTGCCACCACCACCCCCCCCAACCATCAGCTGTACCTTCTTATTTCTGCTCATTTAAATTACTTTCAAAGTGAACAACCGAGAGAAAGCTGAAGGTCCGCTATTGGCTGACAGTGACATTCTTTGAATATAAAAGACCATATTTTTCTCCCCTTTGTCTTCGTCGAGCAAGCAAATAATCCCAATGTCTGCAGAAGAAAAGCCTGTGATTCAGGCTGATGATAAATGTGAAATGATTCTCTGAAATGCATTTTCATTTAGTGAGTGAATTGCCTTTTCACAGGCTGTACGGGCTCCCTGGATAATCCTGCTTGACGATCATTAATTTAGTATCATGTTTACACTCTGCATGTGACACAGCGGCTATGTGCCGTGCAGTTGGATCAGTTTGCATTCCTGTGCCTCACAAAAAACGCACAATAATATTCCCAGAGATCACAACTTCTCTTGGGTCTTGATTCAGACTTTTGAGAAGAAAAGATGAGTGTGAAGAGAAGTCATGCGTAACTTGAGCTGAACTCTGCTCCCACCTGCTGTTCTCCCAAGAAAACTGCGGGAAATTATCTCCTGAATCTGAGGGAATTTTTTCTTCCACAAATAATTATGCAACCAGTTTTTTTTTTTTTTTTTTTTTTATTGAAATAGAATATTGCACTTACATTAAATAATTAGAAACATTATAATAAATGTCAGTCAGTTCAAATACATACAGCATTACCCCCCCCATCTCACACCCATTTTAGTATTAGAACCTAATTGATTGCTGAGTGTCTCTACAGTAATTACCAGATGCAGTAATTAGCACAATGTGTGCCCACATACATGCATACCCAGAGATGTATGTGCACACACACACACACACACACAGAAAGAGAGAGAGAGGACTCTTTTTGTGTCTCATCTGTTCTTTTTTTCTTTTTTGTTTCCACACAGTTGCTACAGAGAATTCATGCGGAGCTACCCTTGTGATCAACCAGCTCAAACTGGTGGTTAATGAAGTAGCAAATCCAAATCATTAGCATAATTAATATGGACTTCTGATTGCCTTTTGGGTCCCCCCCCCCTCCCCTCACTCTCTCTCTCTCTCTAATCTATTATTGACTCCTTGTCTCGTGCATTAGTTGAGCTTATGACTGATTTTCAACAAATCTATAACTTATTTCCCTAGTTGTAGTTCATCAGTCATGTGACCTGGAGGTAAGCCGAGCGTGAAATCAACCATTAAATCAAAAGGAGGCCCCGACAAATTGAAAATGACTGATACAGATGTGTTTTGATTGGAGCGTTTGAATGTAGGTCATTTTGCGTGTGTTGTTTTTGAAAGATGATTATGGCTTTTAACGGACATTTATGGTTCATCAGGTTATCAGTCCTCCCAACTTTTAAAAGTGAGTCACCCCCCCCCCAGCTGATAGCTAATTTATGCTGTAAAATATGTTACAGTCACGGTTCACTGTTGATTTCATGGCAATCCATTCAATAGCTGTCAAGACATCGTCACCTCTTTGGCTCGTCTGCGCAAACCTCTCCTCAGTTACCATGAGTTACCATATGCCGTTTATGATAAACCCCCAACAGCCGTCAGCCAATCCTAACACTGTGGACCAGCACAGCCATGCAGCATAGATAGATAAACCTCTGCAAGCAAGTGCTATATATTCTCTGCATGGCCCCCCAGTCTAAGTGGGCACAAATTGGCTGTAAACCCGCACAGCCAAAGGAGCCAACTGTTTATTTTTATATTTAATAGTGTAGCTTTAAGTGTACAGAGCAATAGTGAGGGGTCCTTAAATGATGGATTAGCATGAGGAGGAGCTGTGGCAGAGGGGACGTTACTGTATTGTGAATTAAACACATTTATCTAAACAGCCTGCTCATTAAAATAGTTTATGTCCCAGTGTCTCAGAGAGGAACCAGTCGTTTCATGAGTCATGATTAGAGGCAGGTTGAGTATAAATGTTTACAGCTAAGCTAAGTAAAGTTTAGCATGTGATTATGTGTGCTGTATATATATATATATATATATATATATATATAGTAGATGATTGCATGTGATGTGTGAGCAGCAGCCAGCCGGGCGACAAACATCCTGCTCACTGAGGAACGTTTGTCAAAACACTAAGTTGTGGGTGTGCGCAGTGTCATGCAGGTGAGTGCACCGTGTTCCCGTATCTGAAAACGGGCAAGTGCATGTATACTGTGTGAATTACCTGCCTGAATAAAATGAGATTGGTGGATGATAGGAGAGGATAGAGGTTTTGCTCAATTCAAGAATAAGCTCTCCTGCGTTTTGAATTTTCACCACCAGCCCCCTAACAGCTGTCAAGTAAAAGGAGCGATATGGGCCTCCCCCTCCCTCTACCCGTCCTCTCCACACCTCCTTACCTCAGGAAAAAAAAAAAGGAGCTAGAGAGAAAGATGGAGAGCACACTGTGCTGGAGATTTACATCATTATCAGTGTCTCCAAAGTCCACTGAGCAGCTATAGAAGGCAGCGGCAGACATTTAAAAGCAGGCGGTTGTGCTCTGACATGCTCATACACACATGCATAAGCACAAGTCTGTTTCAGGCTATTTACTTATCAGTCCCTCTTTGTTTGTACTCGGAGCCAGTGTGCGATGAGCTCAATCCAAATCCCTCTGGATGCCTCAGTGCAAATGTTCTCAGCCGAGCAGCCATTTGCAGTAGAAATCGATGCAACCCCAGTGCTATTAGGAACATTTTAATTGGAAATAAAAGCAGATTCATTATTACTGTCATGACGGCTGAGCACGACGAATGCGGTCGTGGCGGACAGCCATGGCTGTGTTGTGCCGCCGAGCACAGGGACACCCTGGGTAATTTTGCCTGAAGACGTCGAGGACAACGCTGCTGCTGCATTTTGACGTTTTCGTTCCAGTGAC